AGCCTCCAAAAGGCTCTTTTACTTAGCTGAAACATTTGGCTAGTTGTAAATACGAAAAAAAAAAGGTGTAGTTTGCATCATCGACCAATACGGGCTAAAAAATTTTATCCATGATAACTTCTTTTTGGATATGAAGCAGGTCCAGCCCCTTCTGTCAACACCTACTGGTTAAAGGTATATCCTGTCTCATTTTGAGATCCTAAGTCTTACTGCTCTAAATCCGGACTTTGATGGAGAGAATCTAGCCAACAATTTGAACGGAATTACTCTTAGTTCTTGTCACCTTTTCACAACCTTCAAATCACCTGTCTTCTTAAACTTCATTCTCCTTACTTTTCCAATAAAAAAGAAAAGGGAGTACAAGCCTAGAATCAAGGCTATTTAAACTCCAAAACTGGAAATAAATAGAATAAGCAAATGAATGAGTAGAAACAGCAGAAAAGACAAATGAATCCCTTGGAGTGACTTGTAGTTTAAAAAAGATTTATATAAAACCAAAGGATCTGACATTACAAATCTGAATAATAAAAACGATATTTTACCAAAGAGTGAAAGATTGACTTACAAGTCCCTTGAACCATCTGCTTCTATCCTGTCCAATTGATGAAAAACATAACGATCAGAACCTTAAAGACTATCTCAAATAGAATTATTGTATCAAAATACACAAGAAGACATATCCGGCCATTGTAAAAGGATCCATATTCCACTACAGTTTCATAATAATACCCCAACATGAACATGGAGCTTTTGACAATATGGATTTGAGTTGGAGAAGGGAGACATTAGCATTAATTCCAGTCATTAATAACAAATAATATGTGACCGAAATGTGGTGCTTCAATGCATGAACAACATGAGGTAACTATCATGTGTGCCATTCCATATTACATATCGGCTAATTCTAGAGGTCAAAACCCAAAAGACCAAATGGATCATACTATTTAATTACCCAATTTTTAATGATAAACTGATCTTCTTTCACAAGTGCATAAAAAATATAAATAAATAAATAAAGTCCAATCACAAGCTACGTAAAAAAAAAAATAAAAAAAAAATAAATGAAACAACAAAACTAGAATACAACTTACAGCGTCTGGCCTTCTAGTAACTTCCACAATTTGACCATCTATTTTGCAGTCTGCAACTGAAGGCTTTAGGTTCTTGCCAATAGAAACCTTTGTTGGCTTCTCATCTAGTTTGGGCTTCTTGATTAGGCTGTCTTTTGTTCCATGAGAATCTTTTACATTTTTGGTCATGGAAGCATCTTCAGAAACATGAATCTTGGGTGAGGAAGCCCACATATCACCATTACTGCGATTGAGGCCAGGCTTTTGATTGTCATTTTTGGTCTTTCCCAGAGATAAATGAACAAAACTATCTAGCTTTGCCTTCTTCGCTGGTCTATGTTCAACTTCAGAGGAGTCCCTCGGACTTTTAACTCTACCTTCAACATCCTTAGGTAGCGCATCTTTACCGGGTGTCTTATTATAATCAATTTTAAGCTTCGAAGAGACCTTATCATCTAAGATGTTTTTGTGTTTGCTACTAGTATTAGCCATTCCGTTTCCTCCATTACTCACGCATACACCAGACTTCTCTTCATTGGAGGATTTCTCTATGGACAGAGAAGCCTTCAAATCAACATTATCCTCTGTGGACTTCTCGACAGTGCTGTCATTAGTCTTCAAAGTTGACTCTCCATTAGAAGTGTTCCATCCAGAAAGATCTTCTGATTCAGTATTTACAATTGCATCCTTCTCGGCCCTCTTAACATCTTTTGAAGTATCTACTTTATTGAGTAAAAATTTAACTGCGATGGAGGAAGAAAATCAGTTTTGAGATCAGATTATAACAAACCAACCAAAGGTCGAACTATTGTGAAATTGTTATGGAAAACTGAATCAAACCTTCTACTCCAGCAATTTTTTCACATATCTCATTGCAGACCTCTAGTTTTCCAACATCAAATGTACGACAAAATACAAAATCAGCCTTTTTGAGTGCTTCATCTGAAGGTCGTGGATTTCTGCTATCATTTGAATAACAGAGAACGCTGCACTTTCCAGCAATTACTTCCTGGTTTGAGACACAAAATATATGGAAATAAATTATTAAAAAAAATAATAAACGCACAGTCTCCATCACACAGAATCCCTTCCTTCAACAAACTCATTTTCAAAGTGGAAGGTGCACTCCAAGACAACAAGCTTCTTAAAGGCCTAAAGCCAAGAGGTGACAAAAATGAGTTGCTCAAGTGGAGTGAGGCACAGTTAATGAAATAGGAAATAAAAATCATTATTAATAGTTTTGTGTAAAAAACAATATATATAAAAATACTCTACATGAAAATTGGCCCAAAAGAGCAGTAAAGAAACACCCAAAGACTCATTTAGACAAAGGACGGTTGAACCCAAAATTAAACGACAAAGAATCCTCATAATGAATAAAGATCGTAGTCACAAGGGCAAACATAGACGAGGAAAAATGATAGACAAGGAAAGGACAACCACGAGGGCTATCATACGAGGAGAATAATAATAAGCTGTAGAACCACCTTTCATAGGCATACAAGGAGAATCTAATCAGTGAGTATTAATGAGGGAATAGGCGCTGAAAGGTGATTCGTACAAGAAGTATTGAGAAGTGTTACTCAAAGCCACAAGAGATGAAGGTTGAGAAAAATCCTACCATGCCCATATGCTTGCCAACCATCACTTGAGTGGGCTATAATTCCATCTAAACTAACTAGTTTCATAATTTTTACCAATGACATGCAAGTACCAAGTCAACTTGTTCGACATACAAGGCAGATGAATCGAGAGAGAGAGAGAGTACATTGCCATGGAATGGTAAAGCTACAAGCAAATAATTACCAGAGAATTAACATTGGCAAGGCCAACACCATCACCGGATGCCAAAAATAATTCATTGTCCCTCGTGTCTTCGGCTCCAAGATAATTAAGAATCTCACAAGGTCGAAAAAACCAAAGAATTTTTACTTTCTTCGTCTTATCTGGATTCTGCCAGATTTTAAGAATCTTGCCAATATAAGGTTCTGGTTCACCCTCCTTGTATAGGTAAACAGAGTCATATAGAAAATATTCTACACCATCATAAGTAAAAGATTCATAAAAGGACACGTCCTTCTTCTTCCCACCAATTCCTTTCCTTTTGCCCCATTGAAATTCAACTTTCTCCTCTTGTTCTGTTTCTACCATAATACCAAAGCGGATCTCCTCCAAGAATAAATGCAGCTGGAGCCAAAGAAAATAACACATTATTTTATAGATTCACAAAATTAAAAGGAATATCAATACGAAGTAACACTGATTAACCATGTTTTCAGATACTTTAACAATTGTAACTATAATGCCCATACACACACAAAAACATGCCACATTGATTAGTTGAATAGAGTAGAAGATACAAAACAATAACATAGAAAATCATAAAATTGCAGAAGATACAAAACAAGCTACTTCAGATTCAATTTTGTTTGAACCATACCCTGAAATCAAGAGAAATCACTTGAACAAACAGAAATTCAAAGTCCTAGCCAAGGAAAGACCGATAATCCAGTACTCGACCATGTACTGAAAAATAAAAGTAAAATTTCCAAAGCTTCAAATCCATGGCCGAATGTTTCTTTCATCACATAGAACACAGAAACCAGCGCGGCATTCATATAAGAACTCCAGTACTAGTCTAATCCCTAACTTCAAAATCAATCAAGCATGGCAGAGCGATAATGTATGAAGATTTTCACAAATTTAGAAACAGAATTATCTTGACACCTGAAAGCGACCATGAAAGGTGAAAGAGATTATTCGGCGATCACCGAAGATTTAAGTATGGAGGGGGCTCGACCCACAAGAGATCGAAATTTGGAGGGAAAATAACAGATACGTAAACCCACTCGAGAAGTAAAACCCTGCTTAAAGCCCTAGTCCCAAACGCGCGGAGAGGCTCCACCTCTGGTTCCGCTAACCGGCGTTTGAGCGCGTGCGGCGCGTGTGACATTAGCTTGCAAATTCCCTCAATTAGAATGAACAGAAAATTAGGGCTTGTGGACCTCCTCCGAAAAACTTGGGCCTGCAATTTTCTAATGCTTTTCAAAATTAAAAAATAATAATAACAATAATAATAATAATGAGGGAAAAACTTGTAGCTATTTTGGGATGAGATATATATTTAAACTATAAACATTACATTAAATTTCCCAATATTCAATTTTAATCTAAATCTTAAAAGTTGTTATTATTGGGAAATATATATAATATATATAATTTGTTTAATAATAATCTTTTTCAGACAAAAAAAAAAAAAAAATCTAATAAAATCGAATTTAAGTTTTATTGAAAATACAAAAAAAAATCGAAAAAACCAAAAGTCTCCAAGACGGGTGAAGAGAATCTCTTGGACCGGGGGTTTTGAGATGACCCATTTTGGGAGGAAGGTTAACCCGTAGCATGGCACCTTTAGCTTATTCATTCCCCTCGTGCATAGGTTTTCCTATTATATGCAACTAGAATCAATTCGAGTAGGATGGATCCGATCCCATCTCAACAATCAAACTCCTTCTTGACCACGCTTCGTGCCCGTTGGCGTTTTCGCCCGATGGTATTTGCCAATAGATCCATCCTCCCCACGGGTTGTATGCGCAGATTGCCTAGAACTTTATCAATTATAACACAACTTATCCTTTTTTTAGACGGCTAGTGTCTTTGTTGTTATCTAAAAAAAAAAAAAAATGTACAACAAAAAAAGAAAAAGAATGTAACCCGAGACGCCAATTCGCATAATAAGAGGGCTAAGCGACTAAATTTTTACTCAAACAATGGTCTGATTTTTATGGACTAATTTGATTAAAAATCAGTTCAATCAAAATTTACTGCTTAAATCTTTAAATTTTACGGTGGTAAACTTTTAAATCTACTTGGCATTAAGTTAGAGTACAAATTAAAGCATAATAAAGGTAAAAGTTAAACAGTCAAGAAATTGTTTACACCCAAAATTTACTGTTTAAAGGATATTATTTTAAAGGAAAAAGAAAAGGGCAAGCCAACGGTAATGAGGTTTGCAACAAGGCCAAGTCTCCGAGGAATGAAGCCGAGTGTTTGGGCAAAGGAGTAAAGCCATCCTTATCCAGAACAGGAATAAACGGGATCCACAAGATAACAGAGCAACTCTCTACTAATCTTCCATTCTATTGCTCTGTTTGAAGCATCTAAGCAGTGACACAATGAAGCTTGTGAAACAGTATTAAGCCGTGTTGTGTTGGTTTGTAAACACTCCAAACTTTGTGTCCTCGTCCTACACCTCAAGCCGTTGAATATATAATACAGGAATCACATTCTATCGACCCGTTTTGAGTCAAGATGAAGTGCATCTATTCGTGTCGAGAAACATCAGCAAGCTGCAACATTTGCAGCCATTGTTAATTTTGGACCTCGAAATCGAGAGAGCCTAGTTTTGGACATGAACCGATATCTCTATATATTGCAGGCATGACCATAACCAATATGAGGTCGTACCTGATCGACATCGGAAGGCGAGGCTAAAGTGTTTTATCAGTGCTTGAGCCAGTAGTTCCTCAGTTGAGCGATATGCAGAAGAATTTCGTCCCGACCTTGATGGGTGACACTGCTGGTCATAATCCATGGCGGAGTCGTGTGGAAAAATCCACCAATCAGTTCCTGAAAGTCGCTCATATTTTCTTCTGCTCTTTTTCCATCTTTCTTTTTCTTCTTTCGTTTGTCGCATTTCGTAAATATTATCGTCATTGGAATCTGCAGGAAACATTCCATGTCGAATTTTCTTGAAAACGAATGCATCAAATTGAATGAAACGCTAAATCTCTATTGTATAATATTAGACTTAGGGGTTGATTCTTGTTCCTAAAGGTTCAGAAGAAGATTTGGAACAAGTTTAGTGAAGGGGTGAATCTCAAACCCACCACTTGCAGATATTGTCTGCTTTGGCCAGTTATGTATTGTCATCAGCCTCACGATTTTAAAACGCGTTTGCTAAGGAAAGATTTCCACACCCTTGTAAGAAATGCTTCATTCTCCTCTTCAACCGATGTGGGATCTCACAATCCACCCCCTTTGGAGGCCCAGTGTCCCCGCTGGCACACCGCCCCGTGCCTGACTTTGATACCATTTGTAACAGACCAAATCCACCCGTTAGTAGATATTGTCCTCCTTGAGCTTTCCTTTCTAAGCTTCCCCTCAAGGTTTTAAAACGTGTATGTTAGAGAGAGGTTTCCACACCCTTATAAAAATGTTTCGTTTCCCTCTCCAACCAATGTGGAATCTTGCAATTCGCCCCCCTTGGGGGCCAGCGTTTCCACTAGTACATCGCCCGATGTCTGGCTTTGATGTCATTTGTAAGAGTCCAAGCTCACCATTAGTAGATATTGTCTTCTTTGGGCTTTCCGTTCCGGACTTCCCCTCAAGGTTTTAAAACGTGTCTATTACGGAGAGGTTTTCACACTCTTAAAGAATGTTTCGTTCCCCTCTCCAATCAATGTGGGATCTCACATCATCATACAAGTACCGTATACTTTCACAGCCTTCAATATCTTTTTAAGAAAACACAAGATATGCAAATTGGATATTTTCCTTCTATATGCCTCATACATGCAAAGAGAATATTACCTGATTCTGACCCAACCAACCAGCATAGTCAAGATCAATTTGTTTGGCAGGAACGCTGGCATCTATAAGAAGGAAAACCGAAACCAACGTCGACCGATTCAGGAAATAGTCCTTTGTAAACTTATTCCAGTCCGTTCGGAGTTCCCGTGGTGCAGATGCATACCTACAAAAAAGGAACAAACAACTCAACTAGAGGCAGCACATATGAAGGAATAAGGGCAGAGGCAAACTCATGCCCCATCACAGAGCAAGTCACATGGAAGCAAGTTCGAACATTGACACAACTCGAAGTTAAGACATACCCATATCCAGGCAAATCGACCAAGTACCAACTATCGTTGATTCGAAAATGGTTTATGCACTGTGTCTTTCCTGCAATAAAACACAAAGTGTTTATATCCACATCCAACATTCTTAATAGAACAACTGGAACAGACCATCTGAGATTAAACAGTACAAGGGATTTCAGACATTCAGAATCATAACAGAAAAGACCTATGATAACTCATTAATTAGCTTATTCCTTCTCTTGCCCTTTCTCTCTCACGTGCTGGCAAGGAGCGGAGATAGAAAATTTCACGAGAAGAATCTAAATTTTACATTCCCGTTAATGCAAGAACTATAAATAAAGGACTAGGAATTCCTCTATTTGAGGTCGATTCATTTACACTTTCATTCTCGTTGAAAAGCTCAACATGCTCGTATCTAAGTCGGGAAGTGAGAGTGCCGATGAACCCCACTTGGGAGTAGTGGCAGTTTTGATTGAGCTTGACCCATTTTATCGATAATTTTTCACTTCTATTAGCTTAAGAAGGCAAATTGGATGAAAGCTTCAAAATCTTAATATACCCCTACACTTGCATGCGTAAATTGAATGGGATTTAACACGCCAATCATTCATAACAACAGAGCTTTGATGAATGATGAGAAAATGGAGTTATAAGGTCAAGGCTTTGAATCAATGAAACGCATAGTTCAAAGAAGTTTGGCAGATATTTGTTCTGTTCAAGCTATGTTGTTCTATTTTCTTCCAAATCATTGTACAGTCCTCTCGTTCCTATTATCCATTATCTGAGATCCCACCTTGGTTGAAGAGGGGAACCAAGCATTCCTTATAAAGGTGTGGAAACTTTCCCTAACAGATGCGTTTCAAAATCGTGAGGCTGACGAGGATACGTAATGGGTTAAAGCGGACAATATCTACCAGCGGTGGACTTGGGTTGTTACAAATGGTATCAAAGCCAGCCACTGAGCGGTGAATTAGCGAGGACGTTGGGCCCTTAAGGGGTGGATTGTGAGATACCGGTTAGAGAGTGGAACGAAGCATTCCTTATAGGCAAACCTCTCCCTAGCAAATGCGTGAGGCTCACGGCGATAAGTACCGAGCTAAAATGGACAGTTAAGCATTAGGGACAATATGAAACTACACCAAACATATCACAAGTGCTAGGAGAATTCTCATGGACTACGAAACTACACCATTTTTCCTTTCAAAGCAGTGGCTTCACAACAAATGAAAATAACACAACTAATTAAAGAAACAATATGGCAAAACAAACCGCCGACCTGGTTTCTTGGAGGTATGAGCGAGCTTCTTCCGCCGCACGAGCGAGTTCAACAGTGACGATTTCCCCACATTCGAGCGCCCAACAAGGGCAAATTCAGGAAGCCCATCAGAAGGGCAATCCTCGGTTCTCACACTACTCTTCACAAAATTCGCCTCGGAAATCTGCGCATCCCTCGCGTACCGTCCCAACACAATGTTCGAACCCTTCAAGATTCTCGTCCCCGCAGCGCCGCTGCCGGAGAAATCAGTTTCCGGCGGAATAAATAGCTTCTCAGGGGAGATGGTTAACTGTTTTTCTTCGGGATGTTCTGAAAAATCGGTGATCGAAACTGGTTCGGCGGCCGTGAGAGTGGATTTGGGGGCGGGAAATGAAGGCGAAGTGAGAATGGAGGCTTCTGTGGCCGCGATTACGGGTTTATTGGTTTTTGCAAATACGCTAAAACTTCGGCGGATTGGTGAAGTAAAGAGAGAACGATTGAGTTTAGAGAGCTGAGAGAGAACCATCACTATGCCTGTGAGCACTTGCTCGGCTCGCAGGGGAGATTTTTGGGGAAGGAATAGCGGTGGGCTCTGGTCATGGCCATATGCCTCTTGTCCCCTGTGCGCAGTGTACTAGTTGATGAAGAGTTCGACTTGTCGTGTGAGTCGCCGAGAGAGAACGACTTGTCGGCCATGCTAACAAAAAAAAAAAAAAACAATTATATTCAAGAAAAAAAAAGGGATAAAAAAAAATTGGATTGAACTTGTATTCATGGATGTTCGGGATGTCTCGATATTTGAACGATACGTGGACCGTTCCCGATGGCATGACTAAGTGAACTGCGATGGACGACGACACCCTGTGACTTGGGATGACGTCAAGACATATAGATCACGCTAATCGGAAATTGAGAGAAGGTTGAATGTGACGTTGCACATGGGAGACCTTGACCCTGAGTAGAGGCAAGGTCGAGTCGAATGACTTGACCTAGTGTACAGGTAATTTGATTGTGTTATAGATAATTGAACATATATATACAAACAAAATGTGTGGCTGAACAAGTTTGGATTCAACACAAGTGATCAGCAGTTAAAATCAAACACACGTAAATGAAATACATCATATTAAAATTTGAAATATACGCGAAATATTTTGTTGGACTGAATCTTTGGGCTTAGGGCCCTGTCAACTAAACTATTAATGGGCCGAAGCCCAATTTCACAATTGACGGTTGCCGAAGGCCCAACAAGTGTTACCAGAACCGGAAGCGAACAAGAAAAGAGAGAAAGCTTCTCTGCGGGCGTGTCTACCATGCAATTGCATCTGCAAGTTCCGTCTTAGATTCACGAACTCCATAGCCAAAGCCGGAATTGCGACCACACCGAGTCCGTTGTCGACGAGATATTTATCTTCGAATTGTCTTGCTTCGAACGGAGCTGTACGTCAGCATAATTCTGGTCCGCCATGGCTCCGCCTGCGCCGTCTCATCGAACTCCATCGCCGTCCCAACCATCGGGGTAGGTGGCAAATTATCTCTTCCCAATCCAAATTTCTAACATTGGCAGCTTCCAGGATGATTTCGAATTATACATGAGTAATTCATTTCTGCTGATAGATTAGTTCAGGAGCTGTTTTGAGATTGGTATTTTGTTGGTTTTACTATTTTCCCTTTGGATTTGGAAGTCGTGGATCTGCTTAAGTTCGAAATCGTGCTTTTCCCCGTTCCTTCATTACTTCAGCTTTTTATTGGCGCGCATTGTTGTCGATCATCGAGGTTTAGTTGTTTGCATGACCAGTGTGTGCATCGTGTGTCCGATTGTATTTGTTCTAGCGTCCAATGACCAAAATCCTGATAAATATTTTTGCACTGTCATTTCACTTTCACACGACGTTCTGTAATTTTACTTGTTTTGGTTTGTCATCTGGGAATGATTTATTTACACTTTGCATTTGGTCGAATTGAAGTTTTATCGATTGAGTTTCTTCTATCCTTGCTCACTTTAATTTTGCTTAAGTTCTCATCAATCCGATGCATTAGTTCTATGGATTTCGATTTTATGAGTCACTAAAATCAGATCTGTGTTTTCTGCTATTAATCGTGTTGATCTTTACTGGTATTTGATTCACTTGACCAGAAAAAGCGAAGTATCTGATCTGAAATCACAGCTCCGGCAGCTTGCTGGAAGCAGAGCACCTGGTGTTGAAGATTCCAAGAGGGAGCTTTTCAAGAAAGTGATATCTTACATGACTATTGGGATTGATGTATCGTCTCTCTTTGGAGAGATGGTGATGTGCTCCGCTACATCAGACATTGTTCTTAAGAAAATGTGCTATCTATACGTTGGCAATTATGCCAAGGTGAATCCTGATCTTGCTCTGCTCACAATTAATTTTCTTCAAAGGGATTGCAAGGATGAGGATCCAATGATTAGAGGGCTTGCTTTGAGGAGCTTATGTTCACTTCGCGTTGCAAATCTTGTTGAGTATCTGGTAGGGCCCTTGGGTTCTGGCTTGAAGGATAACAATAGTTATGTGAGAATGGTGGCAGTTACGGGGGTTTTGAAACTATATCATATATCTGCTTCGACGTGTGTAGATGCTGATTTTCCAGCAACGTTGAAGCATTTGATGCTCAATGATCGAGATACTCAGGTGATTTATTTAAATTATCTAATCCATGTTTTTATTATGCACCATTATATATCTCTTTGATCAAATGAATGATTTCCTTACCCAAGAGATTTCGAGTACCTCCATAATTTATGCTTTACATAAAATTATAGCAGGAACTGGAAGTAGCATGCCTACAGATTTCTTGTAAACAACCGTGATTTTTATTGTATTTCAAATTAACTTGAATTTTTTGTTGGGTACTAGAGCACTATATATTTATTGAATGGCGTCCGTTATATTTTACCTTGTCCTTAATGTATTGGTGAGAGTATTTCTTAATGTATTGCACCTACCAGGTAGTTGCAAATTGTTTATCTGCTCTACAAGAGATTTTGACCTCAGAAGCCAGCTCCTTGGAAGAAGCATCTAGGGAAAGAGAGGCTTTGCTCAGTAAGGCAGTTGTGTATTATCTTCTGAATCGGTATGTTCTATAGCCTAAGGAATGAGGAGCCCATTCTTGATTACTGTCTCTAGCTTTAGATCTAAAAGGAGCATTGATTTTACTTCGGTTCTTTTTCTTTTTTTCTTAACTTTTAGAAATATTATCATTTTAATCATTGGAAGTTAGAGCTGCTTAGTTATTATATATGTTTTGAAATTTATATATTAAATTTATCACATTCTGTGATTGTTTATATTTATAGCATCGTAATCATTGGATTGTTTATATATTAAATTTACCGAGCCCATCAGCTTAAGCATTTCGGTTGATTGATGATTTGACATGGTACCAAAGCAGGAAGTCCTAAGTTCAAACCCCTATATTGTCATTTACTTCCCAATTAATATTGATTACCACTTGTTGGGTTTTTGTAAAATTTCCAAGTCCAAAAGTGAGAGAATGTTGAGGTGTCGATATATTTAAATTTACCATAACCTGTCAACTTAAGCTTGGTGACTAAAGAATCAGAGTTTCTAAAGAAGTTTTGTAGTTCGTGAAAGGGACAATAACTTTTGGAGTTGTATTGATTGGTTGTTTTAGAGTCTCTTAGCTAATCTCTCGACTAAATGGTTCTTATACATGCATTATATATTCCGTAAATGCGAGAATTTCAGTGATAGAATATCTATCATACCTTGTTCAAACAAAATGCTTATGCTTGCAGGATCAAGGAATTTAATGAATGGGCACAGTGTCTTATACTTGAATTGGTCTCCAAATATGTACCTTCAGATAGCAATGAGATTTTTGATATCATGAACCTTCTTGAAGATAGACTTCAGCATGCTAATGGTGCTGTTGTATTGGCAACCACCAAAGTTTTTCTACATTTGACTTTATCCATGACTGACGTTCACCAACAGGTGACTATCGAGAGTTTCGATCCTTCTATAACATTTTGTTTGTTTACGTAACTTTTATACAGTTTTACTTTTCATCTCTCATGCATAAATAATATGGCCTTACCTATGTGCAATATATTTTTTTTTTGCCAAGTGTATGAAGTCCAGGTTACCCTCTACCTCCAACGTGGCGGTCTAAGATTTTGTAAAAGGAAATTAATTGAATTATTGTGCAAAATATAGTTCTTCTGGTAGTGCTCTTCTGTGTTCCTATCCTAGAACAAGAAATTATTGCTGGTTGCTGTTTAGTTGAGATTACCACTATTATCCTATTTGTTAGTTCTCATGTTGGAATGACATGATCTTCTTATACCATTCTTCTTTTTCCTCTATTGAAAACATAAAGTTTATGGAGTTCTATATAATGGCTAGGTCTATGAACGGATTAAAGCACCTCTCTTAACCCTAGTGAGCTCAGGAAGCCCGGAGCAATCTTATGCAGTTCTAAGCCATCTTCATCTCCTGGTGATGCGTGCTCCATTTATATTTTCCTCAGACTATAAACACTTCTATTGTCAATACAATGAGCCATCTTATGTCAAAAAATTGAAGCTTGAAATGTTGACTGCGGTGGCAAATGAAAGCAACACGTACGAAATTGGTGAGTGAACTCCATTGGGTCATTCTTATGTCTAGTTATAAAGTTGATTCATACGGCACCTTCTTTTTTGATCTCGCACTTGATACCTTTGAGTTGCTTTTTTCAGTGACGGAATTATGTGAATATGTTGCAAATGTTGATATTCCCATTGCAAGAGAGTCAATACGTGCTGTTGGGAAAATAGCACTGCAGCAGTATGATGTGAATGCAATTGTCGATCGACTTCTGCAGTTTTTGGAGATGGAAAAGGACTATGTGACTGCTGAAGCTCTGGTAATTAGTTTTTCACACAATTGTTAGCTTTTGTCTTTTGAAAACTGCCGTACATATGCATTATATTCACTTCTTTTATATTAATTTGTATTACGAAAGTAGCAATAGCGGTGAAACAAAGTGATTCTTTTTCTTTATTTGCTTGGTAATGTGAGGAATGTAACCTCAAGCCTACTGCTAGCAGATATTGTCCTCTTTGGACTCTTCCTTGTGGGCTTCCCCGCAAGGTTTTAAAACACGTCTGCTAGGGGAGGTTTCTACACCCTTATAAAAAATATTTCATTCCCCTCTCCAATTGACGTGGGATCTCACATGGAATTCTTTTGGCAGGTACTTGTTAAAGATCTTCTGAGAAAATATCCACAATGGAGTCATGATTGCATTGCTGTTGTCGGCAGCATCAGCAGTAAAAACATTCAAGAACCAAAGGCGAAAGCAGCTCTTATCTGGATGTTGGGGGAGTACTCACAAGACATGCACGATGCCCCATATATTCTAGAGAGTTTAATTGAGAACTGGGATGATGAGCCTTCTGCTGAGGTTAATCCACCCTCCACCCACTCACAAATTATGCTTAAAACAACTGAAGATACTACTGCATGACTTATTGTTGGTCTATTATTTAAAATCTTACAACTTGAATTGAATCACAAAACTCACATGCAGTCTTAACGTTTCAGTTTAAACCTACATATTTGTTAACTTCGACAATGTCAAGTTTTAATATTT